GTGGAGGAAATAGGTGAGGAGTATTTCAACGATCTACTGTGGAGATGCATGTTTCAGGAAGCAAAAGAAGATGAAGAGGGAAACATAGTAAGTTGCAAAATGCACGACCTCGTGCATGACCTTGCTCAATCAGTCGCAGGGGTCGAGTGTTTTCGGATAGAGAGGGCCAGGGATGAAGAGGTGGCTCAACCACCTACTATAACTATTCCGGAAGGAGTTCGACACGTGGCACTTCTTGACCATGGAGGATATAATAGCACTAACGGCATTGAATTCTGGTCACAATTGAAACTTTCTAATAAGGTGCGGACTCTAGTACACTTGTCCCATGATTATTATTTTGGGAGATTTCCAATTGAAAGACTAATGAGCTTACGTGTGTTAGACTTGCACGAAAAAACTGTTGAGAGCTTGCAAATAAGTAGCATAGGTGAATTGAAGCACTTAAGGTACCTTGACCTCTCTTATAATCTGGATATTGAGACACTCCCTACATCAATTACTAAGCTCCAAAATTTGCAAACCATGAAGGTTAGAAATTGTGAAGTTGAAAAATTGCCAGAAGATATTGGGAATATGAAGAGTCTAAGGCTTGTTGACCTCTCTTGGAACTGGACCATCAAAGCACTCCCTGCTTCTACTACAAAACTAGAGAATTTGCACACTCTAAATCTTAGTAGTTGTCATCTTGAAGAATTGCCAGAAGATATTGGAAAACTAGAGAATTTGCACACGCTAGGTCTTGGTGATTGTATACTTGAAAATTTTCCAGTGTATTTGAGAACATTGACAAAGATCAAGAGAATCAAGGGATTGGGGTTACCTGCCAAACATATTAAGGAGTTGCATGGCCTGCACCAGCACCTAAGTGGTACTTTATCTATTGGGAGAGTTGAACAAATGAGAGATGGCAAGGAAGCAAACTTGAAGGAGATGCCATACCTTTCAGGCTTGGAATTAATATGGAATAATTCAACGTATGGGAAAGAAATAGATGATAACAAGGCAGTAGAAGGAGAGGAAAATGTATTGGAAGGACTGCAGCCACATCCAAATCTAAAGGAGTTGAAGCTAAGAGGGTATGGAGGGATGAAATTTGCTTCTTGGATGATTAAATCCTCGTTGCTCCCAAATCTAGTGACAATCGTATTAGAGGATTGTCCAAGATGCGAATCTCTAGAGTTCTCAGGTCCACTCCCTTCCCTTGAGGCTCTATGGCTATCTAAATTCATATCCCTCAAGAGCATTACAAGTAAATTGAGGAAAGGAGATGGATT